TCGACCCCCGTCGAGGTCGCTTTCACCGCTCTCAATGAAGGATGCCACTCTGTCGCCTGGGTCCGCGAAGCCGTCGTCCGCGCCGCAGATCCTGACCTTTTTAGGCTGGCTCCTCGCTCTCCTGGGCTCTCTTGGCTGCTTCAGGTTGCCTCTGCAAGGTGGTGCTGAGTTCGTCCTGTTTGGTGTGCCCATGTGGAAGCGCGGAGGTGGCAGCCGTGGCTCGTGTGGCTCGGTGGGCGTGATGTCCTCAATCGGCAGACGTGGGGGGGTGCTGGGACAGGCCTCCTCGTCGAGGCTGAGGTCGATGAACAGGGTCGTCATGGGTGTTCTGGCTGGCTGTGGCTGCTGTTGTGGGCTCTTGTTTGGCGTGAAGGGCGTGACGGGTGGGAAGATGGCGGGCCTAGGCGTGGGCTGCTCCGTCGGGATGGGCGAGTCGGCTGCTAGCGTTGGTGAGAGTGAGGCGAGGTCCGTCGGAGCTTCGTCCTCCTTCTCCTCACGTAGGTCTTGGCCCATCTTCGGCTCTTCCTCCTGCAGGTCAGCGTCGTCGGATTCCCCGATTGGGATGCAGTCACTGTTTGCCCGCACGCCGAGCAGCCCCTCCTCCCTAGCCTCCTCGGTAGCGACCCTTTCTCCTTCTCCCAGCCCCAGGTTGGCCAAGTGAAGGAATGGGTCGCAGCTGGCGTGCTCCTCGATGGGCGGGCGCTGCTGCGGTGGTAATGGTGGCGGCGGGAGCTCTTCAGCAGGTGGCCTCGGCACGAAACTCAGGTCCTGAAAGCTGAAGTCGCCGAACAGCGAGAGGCTCGACTCCTCTGTCGTCGGCCTCGACGATTTGTGTGGCCTCTCTCCTGGTCCCACCATGGCCAGCTCCTCGAGGTACGACGGTAGCTCGGGATGTGGGGGCTCGTACTGACTAGGTAGGAGACGGAGTAGGTCTGCCTCCGGTTGCTCTCTCTGGTACTTGTCCTCCTGCTCCGCCATGACTTGGTCACGCTCAGTCGTGGCTGGATCCTCCATGAGGTCGTCCGTCATGTCGATTAGCAGGTCCTCATCCACCTGTCCTCCTGCACCCCAGGCGTCCCGTAGAGCGTTCTGGAGTCCTGCTGTCTGCCGATCATGCTCACGTTGGAGGTCTTGTAGTTGCTGCTGCCTCTGTATGTCGTTCATGTGCTGGATGTGGGCGTGATGCCGCATCGCGGCCTGCATCTCCTGCTGGTGCTCGTGATGCAGAGTGCTGTGGTACTGCTGAATCGCGTGGTTCTCCAACCTCATCTGGTGTTGTACTACCTGGAGCTCGCTCGTGGCTGCTGCTTGGCGCTGCAGTGCCACCTCCTCCATCCTTCTAGCTTTGTCCTCCGCTTCCTGATGCTCCCCGACGCGCTCCAAGTACCTTTCCTGCTCGTACTGCATCTCGTGAGCCTTCGCCTGGATGGCTGAGTGCTCCAGGTTCAGGATGACCCGCATCGCTTCACGCCTGTTGGCCTCTTCCTGGTGCTCGTAGGCCATCCGCTGGTAAGCCACTACGATCTGCTGCTTCTCTTCCTTGTGAGCGCTGCGCCGAGCGCATCGCTCCTGGTACTCAGCCTCCGCCATCTCCTGCATCGCCTTTTCATTGTGCTCCTGCGCCGTCTTGTGCCACTGGGCCTCCTGAGCCGCCATCTGTCGTACCGCCTGCTCCTCCTGCCTGGCCTTCTCGACCTGCTGCGTGTAGATGGCTGCTCTTCTCTGGTCTTCCTTCTGCATCTCCTCGCGTAACATCTTCTTTTCCAACTCGAGGTGCTTTTGCAAGTCCACGAGCATCCCTTTGGCCCTCTCCTCCTGTGTCCTCTGGCTGCCTCTCTGCGCCTCGTCTGCTTTCGCTTCCTTCTCCTCCAGCTTGGCGTTGTGATGTCTCTTGAGCGCGTTGACCTCCCATGTGTGCCACTCCTGCTGCTTGGCCAGCTGAGCTTCTGTCGTACGGATCATCTTTTGCGCCATGGTCTGCTCGCAAGCCTTCAACTCGCTCTTGTGCTTAAGCTCTGCCTGCGCCAGCATGTCGCTTTGCTGCTGTTCCCTTCTCTGCTGCAAGTCGAGCCTCTCGGTCAGCTTCCTGATGGCGTCTTTGATCTCGTCCTTGTTGTCGGCGCTGGTCTTTCCTGCCGGTAGCCGAACTTGTCCTCCAGAACTTTGTTCCTCTTCGTCTTTGCCGCCATTACGTCGTGATTCATGCCGTGCTGGGGCTGCTGGTGCTGTTGCTGCTGCTCCTGAGGAGGAAGCTGCTGCTCTGACTGGCTGAGCTGCGGCTGGTGCAACTGGTGCTGCAGCTGAGTCGCGCTTCCTCCTCGCAGCTGGGTGTGGCGTGCGTCCTCTGGTGCGGTCCTCGCACCCCTCCTCCTCCGACGATTCCTCCTTCACACCCGCTGCCTTGGCCATCTGGTCTCTGGTTTCCCTCAGCAGGGTCTTGTAGACCTTGATGGTTCGGGCGGCCGCCGCCTCCTGGTCGAGCATCATGTTGAGCCGCTTCTCCATCTCGGTGTGCTCCTCGTCCAGCTTTTCCAGTGTAGCCCTGAGCTGCTTCATGCGCTCTTTGTGGGGCAGGACGAAGGAGATGTTCGTGGCAGTGGTCGCTGCTTCCTGCTCGAGGCTCGACGTGCACAAACCCGCCAACCTGGCGCCAGCAATGTTCTCGGCGAGGCGGCCCAGCCTGTGGCACTTCGTCTTGTACCACACGTAGCGCATCTCCTCGTCGTCGGGTGGGGCGGACCAGCTCTCATGCTTCATCGCCACGGCGAAGGAGACAGGCGTGATGCTGTCCAGGACCGCCTTCTGCTGCAGGCTGTACTGGAAGTTGCCGATGTGGACTGCAGCTGGCGTGTCCTGCTGGTCCTTCCTTCTGCGCCTGCTGCTCCTCCTTCTGGCTGAAGTGCTCCTCCAAGGTGCCCTGTCCTTCCAGTGCTGGGCGCTGTCGCTTCGCTGCTGGTGCTGTGGTTGCTTTTGCTGGTGCTGGTAATGGGCTGGCTGTTGTTGGTGTTTGTGGGTGTGAGGCTGCTGCTGCTGCTGCTGCTGCTGGCTGTGCTGCTGCCTCTGTGCGTTGTGCTGCTGGTATCCGTTGTGCTGGCGTTGGTAATGCTGGTTGTCACCTCGGGCCCATACCCAGGGTCGCCCTCCAATGGCGCCAACGTCTCCAGTCCATGAGTCTCTGTCGACTGACTTGGAGCGCTGCTGGCGCTGGTGCTGCTGCTGCGCCCTCGTAGCCTTCTCGCTGCTGCTGCGCCTGCGCTGGTGCTGCTGCTGGCGCTGGGGCTGCTGCTGGTACTGCGGCTGCTGCTGCTGCTGCTGCTGGTACTGTGGCTGCTGCGCGCTGTGGTGGCTGCTGAGGATGTGCGCCGCGTCCAGCACGCGGAAGAGGGTCCTGGCGTTGGCCCTCTTCTCCCGCTGGCGCCTGTGCCAGGCGGGCTCGCCCTCTCGGGGCGTGGCGGCTCTGCGCCGCCGCGGCTGCGGCGCCGATGGCGCGCTGCGCGCGGCCACGAGCGGCGGGGGCGACCGACGAGACGAAGGTCCCGCCCCTCCTCAGCCCGTGGCTCCCTCCTCCTACTCCTCCTCCTCCTCCTCCTCCTCCTCCTCCTACTCCTCCTCCTCCTCCTCTTCCTCCTCCTGGTCCTCCTCCTCCTCCTCCTCCTCCTCCTCCTCCTGGTCCTCCTCCTCCTCCTCCTCCTTGTCCTCCTCCACCTCCTCCTCCTCCTCCTCGACCTCCTCCTCCTCCTCGACCTCCTCCTCCTCCGCCGTCCCTCGTCCCTCCGCCCCGCCCTCGGGTTTGGCGGTTCTGAGGCTTTTCTGGGCCACCTCCTCCATCTCCCCTGCGCACCCTTTTCGTCCTGGTGGTCTCCCCTCCCGTGCCCCCTCCCCCTCCCTCCCCGTTCCTCTTTCCTGCTCCTCCCTCTTATTCCTTCTACTCCTCCCCCTGATCGGCGTCGCGACCGTCGTCGTCGTTCTCGCGGTGCCGGTGGTCATCGTCGTGGTCGTGGTCGGGGTCGTCGTGGTCGTGGTCGTGGTCGTGGCCGTTGCCGTGGTGGTGGTCGTGGTCGTGTGCTTGTGGTCGTGGTCGTGGTCGCGGTGGTGGTCGTGGTCGTGCTCGTGGTCGTGGTCGTCGTCGTGGTCTTGGTCTTGATCGTGGTCGTGGTCGTGGTCGTGGTCGTTGTCGTGGTCGTGGTCATGGTCATGGTCGTCGTCGTCATCGTGGTCGTGGTCGTCGTGGTCGTGGTCGTGGTCGTGGTCGTGGTCGTGGCCGTGGTCGTGGTCGTGGTCGTGGTCGTGGTCGTGGTCGTGGTCGTGGTGGTGGTGGTGGTGGTGGTGGTGGTCGTCGTCGTCGTCGTCGTCGTCGTCGTCGTCGTCGTCGTCGTCGTCGTCCCCCCCTCCTTCTCTCCGTCCTCCCTCCGTGCTCCTTCATCCTCCAGCTCGTTCCTCCTCCCTCCTCCTGGCCCTCTTCCTGTCCAGCATCCGCTCAACATCGATCCCTGGACCCCTCCCAAGGTACGTCCCTTGGGTTTTCCACCCCCCGATCGATTTCCAGCGGTCCCGGGGCCTGTGTCGGAACCCTGGGGGCCGAAAGCTGCGGAAAATGTGTGGCAGGATTTTTCTTCGACCGTCGTCGTCCTTCTGGTGCTCCTCATCCCTCTCTTCCTCCATCTCCTGTCACCTTCCTCCCGCCCTCCCCGGCCACAGCGTCGTTGTGGCCAGGGAAGGCATCTACAGTCTGGTCTGACTAGTGGGTCGACCCTGCAGAGTCAAGGGTGCCCCTGTGTCCTGTGCATGGCGTCTCACGTATGATGCATTCCTGGGGCAAGGGTACCTGGTTCAGAGGCCATGCTGCCTTCGGACGAGTCTCGTGTCCTCTCGCGTGCCCTCTCGAATCAAACTCGACCGTATCAGGCTGGCGGGAAGGTCCGACGCGTCCACTCGCCTTTCTCGCGGTGTGGCGAACGTCGACTCACCGCCCTCCTGCGCCTCGGCGACCGACCCCCCAGGTCTGGGCTGGGGAGGTGTGCACGAAGAGGCAGGACGCGGAGCAGAGCGTGGCGGCGATCGCGCTGGAGGCGGGGAGGGGAGGACGCGGGAGCCGAAGGACGCGGAGGATGAGGTGAGGCGATGATCAGAGGAGGAAAACGCTGAGATTTTGGCGTTGCGTGTTTCCACAAAGAGCGATTTTGCCTTGTTTCGGGTCCTGGGATCCTCACGCATCGATCGGGCTCGAACATGCAGCAGAAAGATGGGTTCCAGGGCTCAGGTTTGTTTTTTTGTATGATTTTTTGTTTTTGTTTTCGTGACGTTGAATCTCAGGGGAGGTGCTGATGCTGCTACACTTGCCTCGCCTTCCGCCTTTTTGGGGCCTCCTGGGAGGCCATCGTCGCCAGGCTGGTCAGAACGTACCTTGGGAAAGGTCTGGGGAATGGCGGTATATCTGATCTGTTCGGGGGGTTGCTAAAGGTGCCCCTCTGACCCGAGGTGCCCCGAGCTTTTCGCTCCACTTTGTAGCCCTTCGGGCCACCTGGGCCTCGTGAGGGGTGCTCTGGAGGCCGTGGGGGCCTCGTGGGGGCACCTTGGGCCAGGGTCACTTCCAGCAACACCCGATCTGTATCTCTTGGTCCCCAGAGGCGACGCGGCATGCGCGGCTCCCATGAGCCCACCAAGGCTGTTCTGCGGGAGCAGGCTTCGTCCCCCCTGGAGAGCGGGCATGCGTGCTGGGCATGTGCCGAGTTGCCAGAGCCGCCACAAAAGTAGATACACAGACCCTCCAATGGGTTGTTCCTGGACCTTAGGGGAGGGTGGCGGTATATAAATCACCACCGAGAGCTAGCGACTTTATACACCGCCGCCCTATCTTCTGGTGTGCACGCGGCGGTCAGGCACAAATTGCGTCTCCAATGCAACCGCCCGGGTGTCAATAAATCCACTGGCGTGCCCATGCGTCCCGCAGCCCTTCCAAGAGGGCGGACTGGCCCCCCCCGCAGGCGTCGGGCAGCAGGGTGTCGGGCACGGCGTCGGGGGTGCGTCGGTTGCGGCGTCGAGCGTGGCGCCAGGCAGGGGGGTCGGCCAGCGAGGAGGAGGAGGAGGAGGAGGAGGAGGAGGAGGAGGAGGAGGAGGAGGAGGGGGAGGAGGAGGAGGAGGAGGAGGAGGGAGGAGGGAGGAGGAGGAGGAGGGAGGGAGGGGAGGGAGGGAGGGAGGGAGGGAGGGAGGGAGGAGGGAGGGAGGAGGAGGAGGAGGAGGAGGAGGAGGAGGAGGAGGGCGAGGGAGGAGGGAGGAGGGAGGAGGGAGGAGGGAGGAGGGAGGAGGGCCGACGCAGTGTGAAAACTATCCCATTCCACTCACGCCTCTGGAAACGGCGACCTGGTCGGCATGAGAATCGGTGATCTGGTCGATGCTGGAGTCGTCGAGTTGGCCGGTGCGGGAGTCGGTGAGCTGAGCGATGAGGGAGTCGGTGACCTGGTCGGACCAGCGCCAGCGCCTACGCCTACGCCGACGCCAGCACCCGCGCCGCCGCCGCCGATGCCAGCTTCAACGCCGGCTCAGGGAAACGGCTACCATTCTTGCGTACGACGCGGCGATGATCATCAGCACGGCGACGATTTGCACAATGGTGCTCGTGCAGCTGACGAGTGAATGATGCAACTCCAGCAGCTGACGGTGACACTGTTTCGGCGCCAACGCCGTCGCCTACACCTGCACCGTTGCCTTCACCGTTGCCAGCACCAATGCCGACGCTTACAGCACCGATGTAAACGCCGTCGCCAGCAGGGACGCCTGCGTCGGCGCCAGCAACAAAGCCAGCGCCGTGGTTATCACCGACGCCTGCTTCGGCAACGACGCCAGGGACTACCAGCAACGTGGACATCACCGACGTCGGCGTCATCGCCGACGCCAGCGATTGCATTAGCTCCAACGCCAGTGTCGAGACGCCAGCTCGATAACCGACGTCTGCGTCGGCACGAAGGCCAGCGCCTACGCCAGCACCGATGCCATCACCGACGCCTGCGCCAGCGCCGACGCCTACGCCAGCACCGTCGCCTGCATTGACGCCAGCGTGGATGCCTGCATCGAGCTAGCACCAATGCCAGCGCTTACACATGTGCCAAAGCCTGCACTGACGCCAGCAGGAACGCCCACGCCTGTGCTGGCAGCAGCGCCAACGGCTACACCAGCACCGCTGTCATCACCGACTCCAGCATGAACGCTGACGCCTACATCAGCCCCGACGCCAGCATGCGAGCGAGCGATTGCAGTGGCACCAACGCCAGCGTCTACACCTGCGACGGCGCCAACACTGACGCCAACGCGAATATCGGCATCTGCGCCAGCAGTAGCACCAGCGCTCACACCAGCACCGAGGTCATCACCAGCATCAGCACCGATGCTGGCGCAGCACCGAAACCAGCACCGACGCCAGCATCAACGCCATCGACTACGCCGGTGTCCTTCGTCGTCACTGACCTCGGGTGAGGTCTGCGGAGGTTTGTGCCTCCCCTGCCG